TAGGGCCTAGAGGCATAGAATAGAGATTCGTGAACCACCAGCCCAACTTCGAGGGCCACCCGCTTCTGATCCATACCCCCATGAACTGGTCCATACCCCGGTGAACCGGTCCATTCCCCGGTGGCACCAGCTAACGGGAGTAAATGTGGTGAATGTTTCGAACGGGGTCGGCTTGGAAAGGTCTGGAAACCAAGCTGGAAGGCTTATGTGCAACCATTCACTTCCCCAAAAAAGTCTCCGAGAAATGGATCAGTCGGTGCGCAGTGTAGTGGTAGCAGTAGTAGTAGTAGTAGTAGTAGTAGTAGTAGTAGTAGTAGTAGTAGTAGTAGCAGTAGTGGTAGTAGTAGTAGTAGTAGTAGTAGTAGTAGTCGTAGTAGTAGTAGTAGTAGTAGTAGTAGTAGTAGTAGTAGTAGTAGTAGTAGTAGTAGTAGTAGTAGTAGTAGTAGTAGTAGTAGTAGTAGTAGTAGTAGTAGTAGTAGTAGTAGTAGTAGTAGTAGTAGTAGTAGTAGTAGTAGTAGTAGTAGTAGTAGTAGTAGTAGTAGTAGTAGTAGTAGTAGTAGTAGTAGTAGTAGTAGTAGTAGTAGTAGTAGTAGTAGTAGTAGTAGTAGTAGTAGTAGTAGTAGTAGTCTAGTAGTAGTAGTAGTAGTAGTAGTAGTAGTAGTAGTAGTAGTAGTAGTAGTAGTAGTAGTAGTAGTAGTAGTAGTAGTAGTAGTAGTAGTAGTAGTAGTAGTAGTAGTAGTAGTAGTAGTAGTAGTAGTAGTAGTAGTAGTAGTAGTAGTAGTAGTAGTCCTAGTAGTAGTAGTAGTGTAAAGGATGGGAGTAGAGGTAAAGTAGTAGTGGTCGTAGTCCTAGCAATATCAGTAGTACTAATACTAGTAGCGGTGGTGGTTGTAGTAGTGATACTAGCAGTCGTAGTAGTAGTAGTAGTAGTAGTAGTAGTAGTAGTAATAGGAGTAGGAGTAGAGGTAGTAGTAGTAGTAGTAGGAGTAGCGGGCGTAAAATAGAACTAGCAGTAGCAATAATAGTGGTAGTCTCGTAGTCGTAGTCGTCGGAGTAATCGTCGTAGTCGCAATCGTCGTCGTAACCATCGTAGTAGTAGTAGTAGTAGTAGTAGTAGTAGTAGTAGTAGTAGTAGTAGTAGTAGTAGTGGTAGTAGTAGTAGTAGTAGTAACCGTACTAGTAGTATTAGTAGTAGCGGTAGTCGTACTCGTAGTAGTAGCGGTACTAGTAATAATCGTGGTCATGATAGTACTAGTAGTAGTAGTAGTAGTAGTAGTAGTAGTAGTACTGGTAGCAGTGGCATTCGTAACCGTAATAGTGGTAGTAGTAGTAGTAGTAGTAGTACTACTACTACTACTACTACTACTACTACTACTACTACTACTACCTACCTACTACTACTACTATCACTACTACTACTACTACTACTACTACTACTACTGGTAGTAATAGTAATGGTGAGACTTGGAATCGCATTCGTAGTAGTAGTAGTGGGTAATAATAAAATTGTGGTCGCATTAGTAGTAGTACTAGTAGTACTAGTAGTACTGGTAGCAGTAGTAGTAGTAGTAGTAGTAGTAGAAACAACAACCCTTGAAGCAGGAGCACCACTACAGGTATAGGCACAGTATGAAGCGTGCACGCAACGAATACAAAAAAAAAAAAAAAAAAAAAAAAAAAAAAAAAAAAAAAAAAAAAACATGCGCCACGCCAACTGTTCGAACATGGTAGGTAAATGAAACCTAAGTGAACAGCAAAGGAGATGGAACTATGCATCAAACGTATGTGTGTGAACATATGTATGAAACGTGATGACCCTGATACGTGTGTGGTACGTACGCGACACGAAGGGCATCCCAACAGATCCTGCTAAGGATCGCCGATGCAGCTACTAAGTAGCGCCTTGACAGCTCCTTGGCGCGCCTTAAAAGCTGCCAAAGAACGCCCTAGAAACTGCTAAGGAAGGAAGCCTTTTAAAAACGGCTAGGGGGCGCGACAAAAACTGCTAAGGAGCGCCCGAGAAAGGAGCGAAGGGGCGCTTTAAAAGATGCCAAGGAGAGCCTCGCAATCTGCTAAGGATCGCTGGGGGCTTGAACAACTGTTAAGGAACGCCTTCGAAGCTACTAAGGAGCGCCGTAAAAGCTGCTAACGGGCGCCTGAAAAGCTGCCAAGGACCGCCAGAAAAACTGCTACGGGGCACCTCAAAAGCTACTGCGGAGTGCCCTAGCAGCTGCTAAGGAATGCTTTTCGAAACGGCCAGGGAGCGCCTGAATAGCTGCTACGGGGCGCCATAACAACTGATACGAAGCGCCCTGACAGCTGATGGGGAGCAGCGTTAAAGCTGGTAAGGAGCGCTGTAACAACTGCAAAGGAGCGCCCTAGAAGCTGCTGGGGAGCGCCTGACAAGCTGCCAAGGAGCGCCTTAAAAGCTGCTAAGGAACGCCTTACAAGCTGCTAAGGAGCCCTGAAAAACCTGCTAAAGGAGCAGCGCAAAAGCTGCTACGGAGCGCCTTAAAAGCTGCTAAGTAACGCTTTAAAAACTGCAAAATAGCGCCCTAAAAGCTGCTAGGGAGCGCCTTGCAAGCTGCCAAGTCTCGTCTCCAAAGCTGCCAAGGAGCGCCTTAAAAGCTGCTAAGGAGCGCCTGCTGAGCTGCTAAAGGACCGGTGGAGAAAAGGGTTACAAAGCTTCGAAAGGTTCAGGGTCTTCAGAACCGACAGCCGAGGAGTGGACCAGCTCACCGGCGAATGGACCAATCGACTCGGGAAAAATTCGTTCAGGGCCACCCGTGCAATTTCAAGGGCCACATCCTGGAATACGCGGTCCGCAAGCAGAACTACGAGAGCCTGTTGCTGAGCTATCAGGGCAACGAGCTGAACCGAACCCCCAACCAGCTGAGCTACAAGCTGCGCTACGAGGGCCGCATGCTGAGCTACGAGACTTTCTAGAAGTCCTGCAAAAACCACCTGATGTTCTACAAGACCCCGCAGCAGAGCAACCAGCGCCACCAGCTGAGCTGCGACCCCCACGCCGCTGAGCTACAGGAGCCACCTGCAGGGCTGCGCCGACAACCAGCAGAGCTACCGGGGCCAGTCTCTGCACCAAGAGGCCCACGCGACGCACACCAAGGCCCACAGAAGGCCCGGACCACCAGAAAGCCGCTCGAAATCGGCGACGCGGCACAGGGCAGGCTTGGCAAGACGTGCCACGATTGCGTCGTGGAGAAGCTGGATGAGACGCCTGCCACCGTCCGCTGGCTGCACGGCACTGCGCGCCGGCTCCAGCGCGCGGCACTCCGTCGGCCGCGACAGCTGCGGCGAGGCCGGCCGGCCCGAGGCCAGAGCAGATGACGGCCTACCGCGCTACGGGCCACGGCACACAGAATAAAAACTGCTGCGCAACAGCTGCGACGCCCACGTTTCAGCACCGAGCTGCGACACCGCTTGAGCGGCTCGGCCGCTCCCTCCACCGTCCACTTTCCTCGGTGGGCCTCAGGAAAGGAGTCAGGGATGACGTGGCCTCCTCCCTCCTCCTTCCCCCCGGGAAGGGTCGGCCCCCGCGCGGCCGCCAGCGCTAGCGCGCGCCAGCGCGCGCCGGCGCGCGGCAGCGCGGGGGCCCTTGGGATCGCCCGAAGGCGTCGCGAGAGAGAGAGAGAGAGAGGACGAGGATGAGGTGGCGGATGAGCAGGAGGATGAGTAGGACGATGAGCGGGAGGATGAGAAAGGAGGAGGAGGAGGAGGAGGAGGAGGAGGAGGAGGAGGAGGAGGAGGAGGAGGAGGAGGAGGAGGAGGAGGAGGAGGAGGGGGGGGGAACAGGAAGAGAGGAGGAGCCCGGATCCCATTGGCAAGTCTGTCTGACAGAGCTCGGGCGCGCCGCCTGCCGCCTTAGTGCCGCGTCATGGCCCTTGCCCCGACATCCCGTCGGCAAATAAGGCGGAACCGCCCCGCAGCGATGGGCACTGCTCTTGAGGCACTGCAGATCCAGGAGGAGAGGAGGAGGAGCAGCAGGAGGAGGAGGAGCAGCAGCAGGAGGAGGAGGAGGAGGAGAAGCAACAGCAACAGCAACAGTAACAGTAGGAGAAGCGGGAGTAGCACGAGAAGCAGGGGGAGGCGGGGGCGGGGAAGCGAGGGGGGCCGCAACGACAGGGAATGAACCATATCCACAAGTGTGGCCCGCGCTTGGGCGAGAGCGCCAGTCTGGACGACGACAGCGCCCTTCTGGACGACGGGTGTGAGCGCCATTCTGACCTGCGGCCAACACTGCAGCAGGAACACCATTTTTAGAAGAAGAAAACACGTCACTAACACAAACATTTGGCGCTCCGCGCGAATTTCTTAAATCCGCGCTCCGCGGATCCAAGAAATCCGCGCGGAGCGCCAAAAGCTTATCTGTATACCGTGTGTTCTTCTTCGAATTCTGAGATGCGAACAGCGCTGCAGCAGGAGCAACATGTCGGAGGACGGAGAGGCGCTCCGAAGGAGCAAGAACACGCGTATGAAAAACATACATGCTTTAACATCCTGCGTGCCAATTTACACGCAGGAGAAAGGCGGGGCCACGACGGCGCAGCGTCGGGGGAGAGGAGAGGTGGTCCTGAACGGAAGCAGCCGAGGAGGAAAAGCGACGAGGAAGGGAGGGGGAAAAGCTGAGCTCGACCAAACCAGCCTGTTTTGTTTTCGTGTTGTTTTCGTTGTCCCTCGATTTGTCTTCGCTTCACCTTCGCTGCAAAAAAGAAGTCCAAACGAAAACTGTCCACGAAAGCGCCAAACACCCTTTAGGTCGACCCCTGGGGAAAAGAGCGACGAGGGAAGGAGGGGGGAAAAAGAGGAGGGGGAAAGGAGCGACGAGGGGGGTGGGGGGGCAGCTGAGAGGGGGGATGAAGGAGCGACGAGGGAGGGGGGCGAGGGAAACAAAAGGAGGGGGAGCGAGCAGGAGAAGGCGAAGCCAGGAGGTGGCAGGGTCACGGCAAATGAGGGATGCTGGGAAGAGGGGAGCCGCTGGCCTGCCGGTCCCACGTAGGCGTTCGGCGACAGCGGCGCGAGCCTTGGCATCACCGTGGCCCCCCTTCTGCGGCTGCTGCGATACCCTGCGGCGTCTTGAAGGATCCATTCGATCGACTGGCTCACTCAACGACTTGTTGTTGTTCTACCGCTCGCCAAGTTATGACGGAGTGCCGCGGGCGTGCATCACGGTAGGTGCATCGCACACGCGAAAACAAGTGGTGTTCTGCCCAAAACGACGTGTTAATGTTGTGCCGCTCCGACACGAAACCAGCAGAAAATATGTTTGCACGTTCGTAACTTGTTTGCAATACTTGCGTCGCGCCAGAACTATGGCCAGCGCCGGATTCCGAATTCCGTCGTGATTGGACGGACTGATTCACTCAACGAATGGACGAGTATAGAACGGCGTGTGGCGACAAAGAACGAAATCATTGGTTCCTTCATGTGTTCCGTTCTATGGCTGGCCGATCCAGGAGCTATGACATCTACCGCTAGGTCGAGCGACCGGCAGCATTGCTGGATATGTGGTTCCATGGCAAATAGTGGTGGCACCTCCCCAAGTTCCGAAAACCGCTGAAGTGCCATCTTGGTACCTTCGGACGGAAGCTGGAAAACCCAGAGCTGGCGAAACGGCCAGGACACGCGATTGCGAGGAGCGTGGCATGACTAGTCGACCACTCCTTGGGCCAAAGGTTGACAATGTCCTTCCCTTGGCGGCGAGCGGGGGGGGGAAATGAGAAGAAGAAGGCTGTCTCAGAAGGCTCGGAAATCCCCTGGCCTTCCGAGAAGTTGCCCGAGCCTTCCCCAGAGACGCAAAAGAACTCTCTGCAGGCGCGAGGGTTTCTGAGAAGTCCCGCCGCCTTCTGAGAAGGCCTTCTCCTTCTCATTTTCCCCCCTCGCTCGCCGCCAAGAGGTGGCAGCGAGCCCTTTGGCGTAGCGGCCAAGCCGAACGAGCATGGCTCCCGTTGGGCAGTCCAGAGCCTCGCAGGGCTGCAACAAAACTCCCTCCGACGGCCTCTCGTAATTCAGGCTGTTCGCCGTGGAGGTCGACGATTTGCGAACATGTGGGACAATCCTCGGACACGCATCCACCTGTGCCGTACTGTTTCGTTGTTCCTTCACCTCTCCATCCTGCTGCTATGATGACTGCGACCACGACTACGATTACGACGTCTACCAGTGCTACTACGATCGCCACTACCGCTACCACGAGCACTGCAATTGCAACCACCATGACCACTATCAAAACTACAACCACTACTACAACTACCGCTATCACGACAACGACCACTGCAATTTCAACTCGCACTCCCACTACCACGACCACCACCACCACCACTACCACCACCACCACCACCACTACACTATCACAACCACGACACCTACCACTATCACGACCACTGAATTCTACTCCTACCACTACCGCGACCATTCCAGATACCATCTCTGCCACCGCCATTGCCACTACCACAACCACGACGACGACCACGGCGAATACTATGGTTGCTGATACACTTCCTCCTCGATATCGTAACACCCGCTTCCACCTCTTCCATTCCGACCACATAGCCCATCCATACCGAACCCGAACCCTGAATGGGTTGGCAGAGCGAGCCTGGAGCGTCTTCTGAGAATCCCCCCACGTATGATCCCGAAGAGTCCGAAGAGTGATTCGCAACAGTTACCAAGATGGAGAACGTGGATCTCACCATGTGACTCCCGCCCTAGCGCCGCACGCATTCACCTTAAACGTTTGGGAATGCTTAAACAATGAAGCGCCTGTGTATTTCAAAATTGTGTTATCGACGTAGTGCCGCACACGTTCGTCTTAACATATTGCAGCGGTTATAATCACGGCGTTGGGGCTGCACGAATTCGTCTTCAACGTGTGCAGCAATGGCCAGACACCTTGCAACGTTTACGAGGATGGTGGGGACTCCGTTTCAACATGTGGTTGTCGCCGTAGCGCCGCGCACATTCGTCCTGAACGCGCGCAAAGAGTCACCAGGATCGCGCTTGAAAATGTTCGTCAAGTTTGAGGACCATGTGCAGCCGCTGCACGGATGGGGGCCGGCGTCAATTCAAAGTGGAAGGTCCAGTTGCGACCGAGGAAAACTCCAGGGTCATGGCAGCTCGTCTCTAGGTGAGTGAACAGCCCTGGCAGAACTCATTTGCGGACTGCTTCCTCCGTGTCTGGTTGCAGTGTCCTTGGCATTTGGGAAGCTCGCCTTGGCATGCCACTGGCGAATAACCTTGGTGACTTGGGCATTTTCCTGAAACTTCATCACAACTCACGATCGGACGTGCAAGCCCCTGCAGCAACTACACGGGTGGGAGGCGGTCGCGCTTCACAAAACGGGTATCTCGCCTGACATCCCTTTCAGCTGTGGGAACCTGCCTTTTGGCATTCATGGTTACGCGCGAGAAAGGGGACTAGGCAGTTCCTCTTGAGCGCAGGGCGCTTGCCTGAATGACAGGCCCAATGGGTGCTGATCGTTCAGGGGGCGTCTCTTGCAATGAAGAGGACGGCTCGTAGGGACTTCTGACCAGGGGACTTGGGACGGGAGGGTAGATTGCAACATCGCTGGTGCATCTTGGGCTTACTCTGGTCCTCCTCGTCTTCCTCCTCGTGTCTCCGTGTCCTCTTACTGTTCCTGCTCGTCCTCCTGTTCCTCCACCTCCTCCCCCTGACGCTGGCTGGTCTTTCAGTGACGGGCAACGGCGCTGGGGCCGCGGCTGGGGGCGCATCTGGGCGGTGCCTGCGGCAGCCAAGGAGAGTTGGGGGGACGGGTTGAGGGGAAAGTGCGCAAGACGACGATGCAGGAGCTGTGAGGGTGGTGGGCGGCAGATGGCGGGGAGGGGCTGCATGATAGCGCTTCGATCCGCGCGACTGTGCGTACAGCAGGCACGTGCGCGGAGACACACACGTGGGCGCGGGCACGGCGAGGGCGCTGTTGTCTCGAAGCCGCGTCCGTGGTCGGGCGGCGAGGGGCGCCGCGAGGCGGGCCCAGCGGAGCTCTCAGAGCTGGAAATCGAACACGAGTAGCATCCATGTATGCACACACACATGTACATATACACAGGCAGATGTGCATGCGTGCATGCCTGCACCCATACAGACACACACACACACACACACACGCGCGCGCGCGCAAAAGCACACGCACATAGAGGCAGGCAAGCATGCATACAGAAACGCACGCGTGGCCATACTGGCTCGCTGCGCTCCGCCGTCCATGTCGCAATCGCATGGCACGCGTGAGGCGTGCGCGTACTTCTCAAGGTCGGAGGGACGGCTCTCGGGACCGGAAGACCCTGAGACGCTCGGTCGGCTCGAGAACGCGGGGAGCAGCTCGCGGGTGGCCGAGGTTGCGCGGCGAACATGTGCAAGATCTGTGGAGCATGAGCTTAGGCGTGCCGGGTCCTCGACGGGGTGAGCTACGGACACCTGGTAGTGGCCTCTCGCCACAACCGCTGTTGCGATTATTAAGGGGCGTGAAGAATGATGGGCCCTCGCAACTCGAACGATGAAAGGGCACACGCGGTCCGTAAGGCTCACGGTGCCCAAGAAGTTCACGGGCCCCGAAGAGTCGTAGAAGTGATGGGCATCATAGGGTCTTGAGTGGGTAGGGCACCTTGGCCCATAGGGCTCAGAAGCATCAGGATACAAACATGGTGTGAATCTGCAGCGGCATGCAAGGCTTATAGGCTAGCTCCTGGGGTCGGATGGCGAATGTAACCCAGAGCTTGCAGGTCAGATGGCCTCGGAGGCTTGTCGAGGCGATTGGCGTCACAGGGCCCTGGGACGCATACAGAGTCTGCTGCATAAAGGGCTCATGGGGCTGAGATGGGAAGGGGAGCTCGCAGGGCATACTTAGGGGGAAAACAAACCTACCTCGCTTTTGACCACCCTCGCTTCCAAGAGATACCAAACGATGCCAAATTGCAGCCTGTACTGGTCAGGCCGCTTGACGAGGAGGCGCGTGGTATGGCTTGGTTTTGCCTGGAAGCGAAAGCGGGGTAGGTAATTCACGCCGATGTGGCTCACGAGGCCCACAGAACGCCTGGGCCTCAGAGCCGACAGGGCGCCTGCCGACAGGCAGGGCCGCGGAGCCCCTCTCGGCGCCACGGCGCTCCGAGCCGCACGCGGCTCCTGCCGCCCGCAGACTACTCGGAGCTCACGGGGCCCATGGTGCCGACCGTGGTGAGCGAAGCCCCTGCGGCCTCCAAGACTCGGCGTTATCGCAAGGCGCCCGAGGCGCATAGAGTCAAGATCCTACAAGGGCTCGTGCGGTCCTGGAAGGGCCGCACCATCGACGGGCGTGGGCAGTGGTCGGAGGGGCGTCCAGTCAACCCGCATAGCAAGGATGCGCCCATGAGGATGCCAGGGCCTTGGGTACTCATTCCGAAGCTCTCCGAGCGCGGCGCGGCCGACGAAAGTAGCCAAGGGTGGACCGAGGAGGCAGGGATGCAAGGGGCACCCTCGGGAAGGTTGTCCATCCTTCCTGTGCGGGCTGACTGCAGGGCCCCGCATGCCTGTGAGCACCGCGCCACGCTGGTGGGGGAACCTGGCGCCCCAGGCCCGGCGCACGCTCGGCACCGTGAAGGGGGAAAGGGGGGAGGGGGGGAGGGGGGGAGGGGGGGGGGCGACGACCCCCCGCAACAAGCTCCTGCGGGAGAAGCGGGAGAGGGAGAAGACGCGGGAGCGGGAGCGGGAGAAAGAGGTGCAACGAAATACACGAGGCGCACGGGGCCGATGTGGTCGTGAGGCGTCCATGGATCGTCTGGCGGACGGGCCCCACAGGGCCCGGCTCGCGCAGGGCCCGCTGGCCCCCCTTGGCCTCTCGGGCCCGGGCGGTCCGAATGGCGCCGCGGAGCTGATGGGCGCTGGGGCGCGTCGGAAGCTCTGCAGGGATGGGGCCCAGGAGGGCCCTGGAGATTGTAAGCATCGTGGAACGCAGCGGCCCGGGAGGGGCGTGCAGGAGTCAAGCAGAGTGTGGGGACCCGTGGGGAGGACTGGAGACGCGCGCGGAGGCGGGGGCAGGAGGAAGGGGCGGGGAGAAGAGGAGCTTGCAGCGGGCATGAATGAGAGAGGAGCTGGCATGAGCGGAGAGGGCGGGAAGGAGCGGAAAGGAGGGCAGCCGTCGGAAGGACTGCAGCGAGTTGCGTGTGCAGAAGCATGAGCGGGCGTGGAGCCAAGTGCGAGGGCTGGAGGGGTCAGGAGGAGCGGAGCGGGACGGGGAGGACTGGGGAGGCGAGGGGATGAGTGCAGTGGGGTGAAGTGGAGCAGGCTTGGGAACGGTGCGGCATGGTTGGGGCGGAAGGGGGTCAGGTGCAGCAGTACGCAGCGCGAGGCCCGGGTGCACGATGCCACAAATTACGTGCCTGCAGCCACCGAGGCAGCAAGCGGCTGCTTCTCGCACCTGCGGAGCGCAGGGAGGAAGGCCCAGTCCTCGTCCTCGTCCTCCTCGCCCTCATCCTCGGTCTCCTCGGCCGGCTCCACCTCCTCCTCCTCCTCCTCCTCCTCCTCCTCCTCCTCGTTCTCCTCCTCCTCGGACCCCTCCTCCACCTCATAGGTGTCCTCCTCCACGTGAACTCAACGATAATACTAAAAGTCTGCTCTCTCCCCGATCCATCTCGCTCGGGCATTCCTCTCGCGCGCAAGATTTGACACAAGTAGATCAGCTGGCCCCCCTTGCGGGAGCCACCAGACCGCGAGGCACAGGTTATAGTAACTGATCAGCTACTCTGGGCTTCTTGCTCTGCGTGGGGGGCACCCCCCCGACGGGGGCCGACCTCGCATCGTCGTCCCGCCGCGACGGGGGTCGAAGCGCCTTCGGCGCGCGGTGCCTGCCCGCGACGGGGGTCGATGTGGGGCTGTCGGCGAGGGTGCCCCCCCCCCGACGCTTATTGAGCAACTCGGAGTAGGCAGTTCGCAAGACCGCATCCGGCTGGGAAGCTCAGCAACTTGGCAGCGGCGACGTACCAGCCACCAGCTCTCCGAGCGCAGAGCTGCCCAGGCCTCGGTCACCAAAGACGCGCGCGAACCCCATCAGCTCTGGAGGTTTTTGTTCGGCACCTCCGAACCTGGATCCCTCAGCTCCCGGGTGCCCTGGGGCAGGTAAAGTAGGGCGGCTCCGCGTGAAAATCCATGGGAAAAGTAGGGCGGCTCCGCGTGAATAGTTTATATGTAGATATATATATACATATATATATATATATATATATATATAATATTATATATATATATAATATATATATATCCGCCGGCCCCCTTGTGGGGCCACCAGGCTGTAGGCACGTGATTCGCAGTTTCCTGTACCAGTCGTAGGTTGTAGTTTCCAGTGTTACAATTCTGCTTCTTGCTGGTTACTGTAACTAGTTGACTTCTTGCTGGTTACTGAAACTATTTGATTGATCGCGCGAGGGGGGGGGGGGAGGCCCAAACAGGATTTTTAGCCTCACCTGGGCGCGTTGTCTGAATTGCTGGGGGGGCTCGAAATCGACACCCCTCACGCAGATCCGCGGGGTCAGGGTCCAAAAACACATGGGATTTGCCACATTTCTGAAAGTCGGTGCCACCCCTCACGCAGATCCGCGGGGTCAGGGTCCAAAAACACAAGGGATTTGCAACATTTCTGAAATTCGGTGCCACCCCTCACGCAGATCCGCGGGGTCAGGGTCCAAAAACAAATAGGATGTGCCACATTTCTACAATTCGGCGGCGCCCCTAATGCAATCGGCGGGGTCAGGGTCCAAAAACACAAGGGATTTGCCACATTTCTGAAATTCGGTGCCACCCCTCACGCAGATCCGCGGGGTCAGGGTCCAAAAACACAGGGGATTTGCCACATTTCTGAAATTCGGTGCCACCCCTCACGCAGATCCGCGGGGTCAGGGTCCAAAAACACAGGGGATTTGCCACATTTCTGAAATTCGGTGCCACCCCTCACGCAGATCCGCGGGGTCAGGGTCCAAAAACACAAGGGATTTGCCACATTTCTGAAATTCGGTGCCACCCCTCACGCAGATCCGCGGGGTCAGGGTCCAAAAACACATGGGATTTGCCACATTTCTGAAATTCGGTGCCACCCCTCACGCAGATCCGCGGGGTCAGGGTCCAAAAACACAAGGGATTTGCGACATTTCTGAAATTCGGTGCCACCCCTCACGCACATCCATCGCAAGGCGTGGTAACCCAAACTGCGAGTACTCCCTCGGCCCTTTAATCCCAAGGTGTGGTAACCAAGCTCGTAAACCATACACGTCTTACCAATCGCCCTGTGTGGTAACCCCTCTTGTGATCAGTTGGTTTTGCCGATTGCGAATCGGCCTCGCATGAAGTTCCGATACTGCTGCACGACAGCGCCAAAGCCTCATGACTTAGCTCTTCCATGGCCCATTCTCCGAGAGAGGGGGCCGGCGGCAGGTGGCGAAGCCCTTACGGATATATATATATATATATATATATATATATATATATATATATATACATATACACATATATATATATATATATGTATTGATTGATTGCTCTGTATTATTTTATATGAAAAAATGCGCACGCGCCCCCGAGGCCACGATCCCTCGTATACAGAAGCAGTGGGCCCGCGCTCCCAAAAAAACGCGGCGCCTCGTGCAAAACACTGGATCCGCGTTCCCGAGGCAACGATCCAGTGCGTGGATCCGCGCTCCAGAAAATACCACCCCTCGTACGAAACCTGCTGACCCACGCTCCCGAAGAAACAGCCCTTGATGAGAAGCAGTGCGTCCGCGCCGCGAACTTGCCAACCACCCGACCAGCCCTCCGACCCGCGTTCCAATCTGCTGCGCAGGGGCACTGCGCTCCTGCACCACTAACGCACCACGGGTCTCTGCACAGGCTACCATCGACAGCCATGGGGGGGTAACGATATATTCATATTATATATTTTTACAGGGCCGGGGACCCCCGAAAAGCGGCACACGGTGCCCCCCCCCCCCCCAAAACGAATTTCGGCCTCCCCGAGCTTTTGGGGCGCTCCTGCAGAGTGTTCCGTGTCTGTCCTGCGACTGCGACTCGAAAAAAAACAAAACACGACGGCCAAAAAGGGCCCCGAGACACCCAAAAATCGGCCCAAGACGCCCAATCTGGGCCCAAGACTGCCCAAGACGCGTCCAAGACGCCCCCAGAGACCCCCAAGAGGCCCCCCAAGAGAGCCCTGAGAGGCTACAATTATTGATTTTCCTGTGTGTGTTTTCGATGTTGTTGGCCTTCGCGCTTTCCCCGCAGCCCGACGCTCCACAGTGGCCAAAGAGGCTCCTTAGATCGCCCCAGTACTGCCCACGAGGCCCCCAAGAAGGCCCCGACACGGTCCAGGAGGGCTCCGAAACCGCCCAAGAGGCGCCCAAGACGGCCCAAGAGAGCACCAAGACGGCCCCAAGAGAGACCCAAGAGGGCGCCCAAAAATTCAAAAACTAAATTTCCCGCCGCGAGAGGGCCCCAAGAGGCCCGGAGAGAGCCCCATGAGGCCCCAAGAGGCCCCCAAGAGGCCCCAAGGAGCCCCCAAGAGGCCCCCAAGAGGCCCCCAAAAGATCCCAGGAACCCCAAAACGCCCCCAAGAGGCTGCAACACTGCCTCCCAGAGGGCCCCGAGAGGCGCACCACGAGATCCCAACACAGCGGCCTCCCCCTCTCATTAACCCTTCTCTTTGTCGTCGCCTTTTTCGTCGTCGTCGTTGTCGTATCAAATGGCGCAGCGAGGCCATTTTTCGCTCAAGCCACCGAAGGATCCAAGAGGCCCGAAAACCACGCGGGGGCATCAAGGGAGGAGAAGGAGGGGGGAGGGACAAGCTAGGTGCGCGCGCGTCATATCTGACGTCCTACCCCTCCCTCCCATCCCTTACCATGGCGCTGATTTGTTCGATCCGCGGACTAGTGGGTGGTGGTGTGCGTGCGCGCGTGCGTGCGTGCGTGCGTGCGTGTGTGCGTGGTTGTGGTGGTGGTGGTGGTGGTGGTGGTGGTGCTGGTGGTGGTGGCGGTGGTGGTGGTGGTGCTGGCGCTGGCGCTGGTGGTGGTGGCGGTGGTGCTGCTGCTGGCGGCGCTGGTGGCGCCGGTGGTGCTGGCGGTGGTGGTGGCGGTGGTGGTGGTGGCGGTGGTGGTGGTGGTGGCGGTGGTGGTGGTGGTGTGTGTGCGTGTGTGTGCGCGTGCGCTGTGGCATGGCACGGGAAATGACGCCAGCGCTGCAGCGGGAGCACGAGTCGAAACGGGCGGAAGCGCGGAAATGAGGCCAGCGCTGCAGCGGGAGCACGATTCGGAACAAGCGGAAGCACGGAAATGAGGCCAGCGCTGCAGCGGGAGCACGATTCGGAACGAGCGGGGCCCGAAAATGAGGCCGGTGCCTCGGCGAGAGCAGCATTATATATATAGCCCAAAAACATATTATATATATTAATATATATATATATATATGTAAAAAAATACGCGGGGGGGGTCGGATATCTTCGGGGCGCCATCAGGGGAAGTGGGGGAGTATTTTCATATTGTGTAACTGTGGAGGAGGAGGAGGAGGAGAAGGGGGAAAAGGGGGGCGAGGACGAGGAGGAGGGGGACATGGAGGAGGGAACAAAGACGAGGGGAGGGGGATACGGGGGATTGAGCACCTGGACGCGGCGCCCTTGCCTACCTTACCGGAGAGGGCCGGCCGAATCCGACGAGCCCCTGGGGGATTTCAAAACCTGCACCGCCTCTTGCACTACCTTCGGGCCTCCTCGGCGGCTTGGGAAAAACCGTTCCTAATTCGGGGAGGTTCTCTCACCCTTTGCCGCTTGACTCGCAGAGAGGCCGAGCGGCACCGCGCCGCGCCGCCAGGGATGGGGAGAATGGACAAAAGAAAAAGCGGAGAGGGGGGAGAGGAAGACGAGGAGGAACAGGAGGAGGAGGAGGAGGGGGAGGAGGAGGAGGAAAGGAAAGGAAAGGAAAAGGGGAAAGAGGAGGAGGAGATAACGGAAAGTAGTCTAATCCGCTTCGCCAGAGATATGCTCGCAACTCCGACCTCAGAAGCGCATTGCTTCGCATCGGTCCCGCCGCTTTCGCTTGAGACATCATCGCAGCTCTGGGGCCCGAGACACTCTCAGTTGAGGTGTTCCAGCCACTGTCGCCTGAGACACTCTCGCAAGTCTCACTTCGGAGGTGCCTTGCACCATGGTGGTTCGGCTACTTTCGCGTGCGACTTCTCGCAACTCTAAGTTCAAGGATGCCCTGAGCAGAGAAGTTCAGACCACCCCTCGCTTGAAACTTCCTCGCGCGGCTGCTTTCACACATGCCCTCCCCTGAGCGGAGGTGTTCAGGCCATTTTCACCCGGGACGTCCTCGCAACACTGACCTCGGCGACGCACTGTCCCATGGTAGTCTGACCACGTTTGCCTGAGACCCTCGCGCCTTT